TTTCTTTATTTTTGATTTTTGATTTTTTTTTTTCCCTTGCCCTCGGGGACCACAAGGGAAAGGTTGACGCAATGGCAGTAGAGGGATGGATCGCGGTGGTCCCCGAGTTAGAGGAGCGAAATTCTTTGTTCCCGATGGGAAGTTGTTTGTTAGGATCCTGCTTGTCTGGTGATATCTTCTTATTTTCTTTATCTTGGGAGGTTGTGCTAGGTGTGCGAAATGGATTCCTAGTATTCAATTCTTGGGCTAGCGCTGCGAATCTACCGTGAACCTTATATATGTCTGTCTTGAAGAAGTTGGATATCGTACAATACCATTGTTGGTGATTCTTGCTTAGCGGCCATGTTTACACCCGTACATACGTCCCTGGGCGCGCTACTGCTCTTTCAGAGTTCCTCGGGCCTTCTTCTTCATAATGGCGCGGTTTTTGGCATTTCGTCGCTTCTGTCGGGGTCGGTTTTGCATCCCACGAGAGATAACGTTCCCGTCATTGCTGGGTTGTTGTCTAGTGTCATCCCGGTTTACCTGTTCGTGCCTTCGTTGATACCGCTGTATCCGCCGGGGCCGAACTCCTGGGCATCGGTGGCGTCTACGCTCGCGACGGGTTTCTTGCTGGGCTGGGGGACAAAGGTATGAAGATATGACTTTGGATGCAGAAGGCAAGCTAACAGAGGACACGAACTAGAATGGTCGAGGCTGTACATCTGGCCACATGCTCTGTGGTGTCTCCCGCCTATCGCCGCGCTCCTTCATCGCAACAGCTATCTTCTTCACAACCGCTCTGCTAACGGCAAATTTGGCCTCGGGGGGTCAGAACATCCCGCCTTGTGCGTCCGGAGTGCCCTGTTACACTCCCGTATATCCGTCAACAGCGGAGCTCATGTTCATGATCGGGACGGCCGCTCTCACATTCATCACGAACTGGTTTATCGTGCCCCGGAGAATGGATAGATCAGAGAACTCGAGAACGCTCTTCTCTTATCTGGCAGGGTTGCAATTCGGCATGGGTCTCTTCTTCTCCGGAATGGCAAACCCAGCGAAGGTTTTGCGTTTCTTCGCCTTTCCAACCGATTTAGCCCGTTTCGATCCTTCGCTGGCGCTTATAATTCTCTTTGGAATCGGGCCGTCGCTCATTACTTTTTTGACCGCGAAGCCGGGACAGAAGCTCGACAGTCCGGATGGCGAACGGGCAAAGCCCACATTGGCAGATGGTTGGAGACTCCCAACAGCCACGGTGGCGGACATTGATTGGAGGTTTGTCGCCGGTGCAGTGGCCTTTGGGGTTGCTTGGGGGCTACGGGGAGTGTGTCCGGGTCCCGCGGTGCTTCGTGCAGCCCTGCAGCCGGCATGGGGCCTTGTCGAAATGACTGGGTACATGTTAGGAAACCTGGTATAGATGGCGTGAAGCCGTTTCCATTTGTTAAGAATTTCTACAGATGACGGCGAAAGATGTGTCAGGTTGATCCCTCAGAGACCGGGCGAAAGGATCCCGGCAGGGAAATCGCCATTAAGAGCTATGCGACACGAACATCAGCACGATTCATCATGATATAGAGCTAGAAGTGCAACATATGTATCATAGACTGTACATATTAGGGCCTGGGAAGGCAGTATATAAACCACTTGGAATTAATCTTGGTATATCTTACAGCTCGGTTTTCTTGTTCAAACGTTCAACGTTCTTTGCGGGCGTCGCTTCACCGCTGGGTTGGGGCATGAAACCCTCCAATTCCATCCACTCGGCTGCGAATGCTGTAATCAGCATGCTCCAGTCTTCCACAGTTGCTAGATCCAGATGTTCGCCATCATCCGGTACGCCCTTCTCATTATGCCACACCACTGGAAATCCCTTGGCGGGATGAGCGTCGATGAGATGCAGAATTTCAACACCACGTTCCAGGAACGGCAGATGGTCATCCTGTATGCCGAGAAAAGTGGTAATTTCATGCTCCGACTTGGACTTATCAATGAACCATGCTGGATGAGATGAATCAACAGAAGACTTGAACTGCTTCAGGTCTCGAAATCGCTTCTCGAGTTGAGCAAGCTTCTTATATGCCCAATGTGTAGTTGAGAAATAGGACTGGATAGTTGGACTCTTCGAGCCGAGGAGATCCAAAAGAACGAATAGAGATATAGAAGACAGAGGGGTCTTGTAGATCGACATAGCAGCGTTGACCTCTGAATCCCAATGTTCTGCGAGCGAACGCGCCCCGTACAACGAATCAGTTGCAGTCCATACTTTAAATGCCTCCTCTCCATCCAAGAAGATGACCTGGATGCCTTTTTGCTCCTCCAACGACGAGTCGGTGTGGCCCTCTGTTTGCATCTTCTCCCACTTCTTTGTTAAGGCCGCATCAATACTCCTCATGGAGTGCATAATCATTGCGCAAGGGGCGGCGCTGTCAATTGCCCCGATAAAACCCTCCGGCGAGTATTTACTATCATAATGCGCAACGAGCGTAAGCCTTCCAACGTCACCTGGGGCTGCCCACGGAGGGTCACGAGACGCAATGAGATTGACGAAGGGAACCTCCTTTCCTTTCGATACAGGCGTTGTCGACGTAGAGTTCTGAAATTGGATATTCCAGCTTGGGAGGGTCGTGCGGAAGAAGTCCGCAAAGTGCTGGAGAACAGCCGCAGAGCCCGCTGTCCCGGAGACACGAGGTATTAGGATAGGCGCTAATAGCGCCCCATTATCAATGTCGAAGTCATTGTTCGGACGTGGAAGGGCATTGAGTGTGTTATCGGAGATTTCCTCGTAGGCTTGGCCAGCAAGCAAGAAGTACAAGAGTGCAATGCCTATCGTAAGCAATGGGCGGAAAAGGCCACCGTTAGCAGGAGACATGGTGAGGTCCGAGTGCTAGCAGGGGTCACGATCCCTGTCCCAGCGACGACCGCAGATAAGCCCGAATCCAAACAGATCCACAACAAAGGAGCGAGCATAAACGACAGCTTGGGGGAAAGACGGGAATATTTAAAGTTGCATTGCGCCGTAGACAGAAAAGCTGGCCTGTTGTCAACACTGATCGGCGCCAAGGCCGCCGCGAGTCACGTTCCGGAGATCATCCGCATTCCGTCATCTTTTTCGAATGCGACAACTCTTCTCGCTCAATGCAATTGTTCACGATGAGGCCTCAGATCTTATTGCATCCGCAATTGCGCACGTTGCTTCCCCGTGGTGTGCGGAGGGATCTTAACAGCACGATATTCTCTCGGCTGAAGACGACTCAACCCCCGTTTCGACTCTCCAAAAATGAGACCCCGGCTCTGAAGTCGAAGGAAAACAATGCGACAGCTACCCGGAGCTCACCACAGTCGGCCACGACACACGCAAAGACGACTATTCGACGAGGTATGCTTTTTGTGGCAAATTGCAATTGAAACATTGGCCCTGACGGAGTACTACAGGTCCCCCGGAGCGCATATTGATCTACCATGGCGGAACGGGCAAGACAATCTTTCTGGGGATGTTGCGGATCACGACCATCTTCCTTTTTGGTGTGTCTGTCCTGGTTGTCGCACCCGCATTTGCGGCCGATGAGTTTCCATGGTATCTAGCTCCTGCTGGTAAGATTGATTCTCTTCCCTGACGGTTCGTTAGCTAAACATGCACAGTTGTTATTGGCGGAGCTCTCCCGATGCTTTTCGTTTCCTATACCTCTGCTCCATTCGTGAATTTCGTACACCTCGCTCTCCCTGCTTTTGCTCGGCGTTCAAAGGAACAGACGCTTCAATATGCGAAGAACCTGCCTCCTACAGCCACATTATACATTAACACCATGAAGTTCACGACGATTCCTCGACAGACCGAGGTGCGACTGGGGGATTTGGTTCCTGACAAAGCCATCCTCCGTCCAGTGAGCTTTCGCAATAAGAACCCTGCCCCCTTGCCCTGGTGGGCAGGAAAGACTTTACGGCAATTTTACGCGGCAGAGAAGAGTCAGCCTGGCAGAGAATCAACGACATTCTATCCCGAATTGTGGGAACATGTATACAAGCAGATCCAGAAGAATCCCTTACCAAGGAAATGAGGCTGAAGAAAATATCCTGTTTTAATATGACTGTAACATAAAGATCATGAACCGCTAAGATTTGGGTGGTGACTGAACAATTCACTACTCCTGCTCTCGCTAAAGAATAAGTCTTCGCATTCACTTCTAACCATTCACTCCTGCTGCACTTCTTCCAGAACCATTCTGCCCATTTTTGCTGTGACTTTCTGTCTTCCTTCCACGAGGACAGTGTTTCTCTTTTCCCTGTGTTTCTCGTTGGTAATCTTGTCTCTCCTCACTTTACAATCTCCCATCTCCTCACTCTGTTAATCTCCCCTACCTCTCACTTTTCCTACCCCCAGCTCCATCAACTCTACACTTCTTCTCTCAACATTCTACCATCACCTATTTTCACCATTCACCTGCACCCAAGCATCAACCATCTACGTTGGAACAGCCAATATGTCCAACAAAGTCAAGTCCGACACTCTCCTGGGTCTCACCAATTCCGAGCAGAAGATCCTCCTCCTGAGCATCCTCTGCACCGACGAAAGTAACAAAGTATGTATACCCCCCTCTCCCTCCAAGACCAAAACCAAAACACTAAACTGACTGGAACTCGAGCTTGACTTCGACAAACTAGCCCAGTACGGCGGGTACAAGAACCCAGCTTCAGCTAGTACAACATTCCGCAACGCAAAGCGCAAGCTGAGCGACTACAAGCCAGAGCCACCCACCTCCGCCGAGGCCTCTGCAGCCAATACCCCCAAGAGGGGCCGACCTCCCAAGAAGGCCGCGGCCGCGGAAACCCCAATGGCTGCCGACTCAGAGCCCGCGGAGGAAGAAGCAGCACCAGCGCCTAAAGCGAAGCGCCCCCGTATCACAAAAAAAGGCATCGCACAGGTGATCAAGAAAGACTCGTATGAATATGCCCCTACCCTGTTGCGCACGAGAAGTCAAAGTGAACACCGCTAATCAAGAGGCGAAATCAATCGCAGCAGTGAAGACGTCATTAAGTCTGATCCCAGTCCCTCCAAGGCTAAATCCACGGGTAGCATCAAATCTGAGGACAGTACTATCAAGGAGGAGGAATGCTCCGGCAAAGAAGAGGGTTCGATCAAGGAGATGGAGGCTATTAAGCAGGAACCGGAGGGCGTTTACGACGAATGCAAGACCGAGGACGAGAGCCCCATGACCAATGAGGAGCTCGATGCTCAGCTCGACGCGATGTACGAGGCTGGTATCAAGACTGAGACTGAGGGTGGTGCTTAGGTTGTCTTCTTCGTATCTTGCCATGACGGGTCCCATGAAGGACGATGGGGTTATCTAGTTATCTTTTGTTTCTTTTCTCATCGGCAATTGGCTACTATTCGGTGAAATGGGTAGCGAGAATTTGGATTGTCGTTGCTCAGGATAGGAAGATCTAAGGATCTGGTATCTGGTGGTCTATCTACACTGCGTTACTTTATTCATAAAATTGAAAACAAAAAAAACTCCGCTCCTACATTTTAGTGCTATGGATACTCTATGTGTAGTGTCAAGAATCAGCAAACTTTTACAAGGGATCTGCATTCGGTGGTCGAAATGTAGTGAGAGATGGAGAACAATGGAGAACAAAGCAGAGAAGAGACAACTGTCCTTCTTAGGAGGTATACTCAAAGGTCATTGTAAATAACAAAGAAGTTGTCTTGAATTTAGTATTCCCTATATAACCACTCTACTCAATTAAGATCCCGATCAACACATTATAACACAATCCCGAACTCCGGCCAGATACCCCCATTTATAAAGAACATAACGTGGCTGACTCGATCAAACACTGAATGAGTGAACCCCAGAATATAAAGTAGCAAACATAAATCATAGAGCTTCAATGGCCTTAAGGAGTACGTCCAGGCCTCTGTCGGTGATTTCGTGCTCATTGGCGTCGGAGGATTCGCGCAGGGCCCAGGCGACATCGCTCCACCAACCCAGTCCAATGAAACCGCCACCTTTCCGTCGTTCAAGGCTCTCTTTGAGACGACTTGTGTGTTCCCATTGTTTCGCGGCAACCTCCGCTCTCTCAATGACCTTGCTGGAAATTCCGCACATAGCGGCACAATGCATACCGAAACTACCTTCGGCCACACCATCTTCCAGTTTATACAGGAACGTGACACGTCGCTCTTCGTCGTCTACATGGATCTTCATGCGTTTCGGTGTGATCTCGGGATGTCCTTCAAACTCAGCTGCCAGGGAGTGGTAGTGGGTAGCGAAGAATCCCAAAGCTCCGATGTGCGTAGCAACATGGTGCAGTACGGCTTGGGCCACGGCTACTCCGTCATATGAGCTGGTTCCACGACCCAATTCATCCAGGATAACCAAAGATCGGGGAGTAGCTTCAGACAGGATCTTCTTCGTTTCGGAAAGCTCTACGAAGAACGTCGACTGGGCAGCGAAGATATTGTCATTCGCGCCTAGACGCGACATGATGCGGTCGACGGGGGTCAATCGCGCAGATTGGCAAGGCAAGTAGCAACCGATCTGAGCCATAATAACGGCGACACACGTCTGCAAGGTAGCGAGTTAGCGAATTCCAGTAAAGATCAGAAAGAATAACGTACCATTCGAAGGACAGTAGACTTTCCGGCAGCATTAGCACCGGTGAGAAGATCAATGTTAGCACAATCGCCTCCCAATTTGATGTCGTTCGGTATGAAGTCTTCGACAGAGGAGAGGAGGCAAGGATGGCGTAGCTCCTCGAATTCGAGTACACTTCGCTCATCTTCAACAAACACGGGGCGGCAACTTGGTTGTCCCAGAGATGAGGAGGCCTTCGCAAGACTTATCAAGCAGTCCAGCTGCGAGATAATCTTGACCGCTGCCAGCCATGTTGCATAGTGTTCGTCAAACCGGGCATAGAATCGGCCAGCGACTTCTTTCACAATCTGACTATGCGTCTCTTGGGCTTCCTGTAACTTACGGATGATCGTCCGAAGTTCAGGGAAATAATACCGTTTCACTTGTTTAGTTGCTGACATCTGGTCCCAGTTCTTGGGGATGTTCTTTACCTTGATCGGCACCTCCAATTGGTAGATCTCCTTGCCGTTGTCACGGTAGCAAATGGCAGTAGAGCCTAACTCGCGACGAACTCGCTTCAGAAGACTATCAAGCTCGTTGTGGAGTTCTTCGATGGAGTCCTGGGAGTTGTCGAAGTCTTCTTCAACGCCTCGTTTAGGTACTAGTATGCCATTCTCCCTTGCTTTGGTGTGGTCGAATGCTGTTTTCCAGTATTCAAGCAACTCATTCAGATCCGGCATCGCACTTATCAACTGGCCAATAACGCCTTCTCCGGAACCACTGTCCTTGAGAAGACTCACGGTGTATTCAATTTGCTCGAAGCCCTCCAGCACGCGCAGGAAGTCCTGAGCCTTGCAGTTAGCAGCATGAATCCGGGAGATCAGTCGTTCCAAATCAGGCATCTTGGTTAATTGTGAAGAAAATTGGTCCCGGATGCTAGGGTCCGCATTAAGGGCATCAACAGCATCCAATCTGGCATTGATCTTCTTCGCATCTATCAGCGGGTGGCAAACCCACTGTTTGAACATGCGCTTGCCAAATGGGGTGATACAGCGATTCAAAAGCTGAAATAGCGTCCCATCAGAGCCTCCATCAAATGAGTTCGCAAAGATTTCCATGTTGATAAGGGTCTGGCCATCCAACACTAGGCTAGAAGCCTTCTTGATAGGATCGTATGAGGAGAAGTTGCCGATTGTTATCAAGTCACGGTCAAGTTTCAAAAGCCGGAGATACTGTACCAAAGCCCCAAAGGCCGACATCACTAGTTCTTTATCCCGAGCGGCTCGAAGAGCTTCCGGCCATGCCTTCAGGTTGTCATCGTCCTCGGAAACAAAGTACTCGCTGACATCTAATTCCTTCACCGTAATGTCCGCTTCCCAGAACTCTTTCCCAGGCTTCAAGTGGTTCCAAATGGTAGTGGGGCCTGTGTTATTCTTCAAAATGCGGAGTGCTTTTTGTGAAATTGTAGACTTTTCGAGGAGTAGTTCTTGGGGGCGAGTCTGGGCCACGAACGTTTCAAACTTTGTCATGTCGGCATCATCAACGAACTCTGACAGGAAGAATTGGCCTGTCGCAGTGTCAACGAAAGCTAGCCCAAATGCAGGAGAATCCTCTATGATGGCTTCTTTAATAGCAACGCAGTAAGTAGACATATCATCCTGCAGCATTGAGCCCTCAACCAGCGTTCCAGCAGTAAGAACAGAAGCCAGCTCTCTCCTGATGACCTTGTCTTCTTTGCCCCCTTTCTTGCCATCTCTCTCGCGCATTTCCTTGCCAAGAGCGGATTCTATCTGGTCGACGCGGGCAATCTTGTATCCTTTGGCGACAAACTGATTGGCCCAGTGATCCAAGCTCATTTCAGGAACACCGACCATGCGCATGTTGACGCGATCCGTAAGTTTGAGGTCGAATAACTGGTGTCCAATGGTGGCATCATTTTCATAAAGTTCGTAAAACTTTCCCTTCTTGAAAAATACGACCGTATCCCAGAACTTCTGCTTGATCTCCCAGTACTGTTTTTCGAAGGGTGAAAATTTGGCCCAAGCCAGTGGAGGTATATAGATGGTACGAGGGTCGTAGTCAGGGTGGCCCGGGGAATGACCATCTATATCCCGAATATTTGCCAGCCAGGCATAGCGTTGCTCTGGCTCTGTAACATGAGCTTTCTGTTTGATTGCACTAGATGTACTCTTCGACTTCACAGGGGCTGTTCGGCTCCGGCGAGGCTCAGCACTGTCCGGATCGTACGTCCATTTCATCGCTGAGCCAGAAGACGCATCCGGAATGTCCAAGTCCAGATCTTCCTCCAAAGATGGTACTGGAGGGACAGATGAAGACTTGGGCTTTGTTTGAGTTAGCCTCTTGCGCTTCTTCGAAGCCTTCACGTCCTCATCTGAGTCATCCGCGACGATAAAATCATCCATATCTGAAACAGTCAATGCCTCTCCAACTGCAATGGAGGCTTCTGAGATCAACTAACCTTCGTCCGAGTAGCCGGCATCATCTTCACCTTGTTCAAATTCATCGTCGCTCTCGGGAGATAGCTTTCTTCGCTTAGATACTTGACTGCTTTTCCGGCCCGGGCGGAATATCTTTTCGTCGTCATCCTCGCCTTCCGAATCGGACTCGACGTAGTTGACCTGTTTTTTAGACTATTGGTAATTAGCATACACTATGAAACAAAAGTCCTAAGGACATGGTATCTTACCCGTCGAGATGGTGAAACGGTCTTTGTATCATTGGAAGTCGCCTGTCAATCCAGTGAGCGAAGCTCCCTCAGCGTCAAACATGAGATCGTGTCAAAGCACTAATCGTACCTGAATATGGCTTTCATCCTCCTCAGGCTCAACTAGATCACTACTCGGTACTGGGCTAAGGTCCGCGAGCTGTGGGAGACTCTTCTTCTTGTCGCTCTTCACGGAACCTCTGGCAGCCCCGCGCTGCTCCGATACCCTCTGAGCAGGCGACGAAGCTGGTTCAGCATTGCGAGCAGTAGATGGAGTCGATGGTGATGACTTTTGAAAGAAACCTAGAATTGACTTCTGATTTTTCATGTTCTGAGTGCTAGAAGTAGTTCGTTTAAGCACTCCAGAGGGAGGCGTTGCGGCCGGGGATGAGGATGCGGGCGGTGCTTTTGCCATTCTGAATTGATGGTGGTAAAGATAGAACTTTGAAACTCTATTAGAGCATGTCGTAGAGACTGAGAACCTATTCGACTCGGACAGATAGGGGTAAGGACAATGTGACGCTCTTGCGACAAATGTAGGTGCTTTCCTGCCGGGCGGAAAGTCGATCTATCAACCCGTCGAAGGGCGTCGCGCGTCGACGCGTTTAGTGGTTTCCGGTCTTCATTCCGTCAGCGCCTCAGGCATCAAGGGTCGTAGACGTAGCTTGCCTGAGGGTGTGGCGGAAATGGTAGATCCGGAGTGATGCGCATGGTCTAGAGCCCTAATACCCGCCCCCTTAAAAGGCTTGAACAAATAATATGGCTTCCAATTGTCATTCCACTCAGCAGACAAATGCTAACAATATGCCCTCTCATACTGAATCCAAGTATGAGTTTGGTGGCCCGTGAGTTCAACCCTGGTGTGTTACCGATGTGACTCGCTGACTTACTCCTAGTTTGGGCGCTGGTGCCATCGTAGTGGGCCTACCCATTCTGCTCTGCGTCTTCGCCTTTGCATGCAACGATGTAACTGGCTGTCCCGCACCATCACTGCTAAGCCCTAGTACCTTGAGTTGGGAGAGCCTAAAAACCGAGATTGGATGGCCTCATGGGGGCATCTGGGAGTTTGGCAGTTGGGAGGTGACCGGCATGGTGCTTGCATATTACCTCCTCAGCATGTTCCTCTGGAAGATTCTCCCCGCGGAAGAAGTACGTGGCACCAAGTTGGTCCAGCATGATCGTCCGTTGACGTACCGCTTTAACTGTATGTGAAATGCAACTCAACACCAACCTCTGCTGACATTGCTATTAAGCCTTCTCGTCTACCATTGTTCAGCTAGCTGTCTGCGCCATTGGAACATATCTAAAGGGTGCAGACTTTGTTGTCTGGACGTACATCGCGGACAACTATGTACAGATATTGACCGCCAATATTCTGATAGCATATGCCCTTTCCGCGTTTGTATACATTCACAGCTTCAGCGTGGACACCAAGTACCCAAACAAGGAGCTCCGTGAGCTAGCTGCTGGTGGAAACACTGGCAACTTTGTATACGACTTCTATATCGGTCGTGAGCTGAACCCTCGTGTGGCTCTCCCGCTCGTCGGCGAAGTCGACATCAAAACCTGGTGCGAGATGCGCCCCGGCCTGACTGGATGGATATTGCTCAATTTAGCATTTATTGCCAAGCAATACCGCACCTATGGCTTCCTCTCCGACAGTATCCTCTTCACTGCTTCCGTACAGGCATTCTACGTTCTTGACGGCCAGTATAATGAACCCGGTATTCTTACTATGATTGACATCACCACGGATGGCTTCGGGTTCATGTTATCTTTCGGAGATCTCGTATGGGTACCCTTTCTCTACTCAACCCAGTGCCGATACCTCTCTGTCTATCCCTTGCACCTTGGATGGACAGGTATCGCCGCCGTAAGTGCGGTCTTCGCACTCGGGCTGTACATTTTCCGCGCGGCCAACACGCAGAAAAACGTTTTCCGTACACAGCCTAGCGATCCAAGTGTGGCGAATTTGTCGTACATTCAAACCAAACGGGGAACAAGACTGTTGACGGCAGGATGGTGGGGCATGTCTCGCCATATCAATTACTTCGGGGACTGGCTGCAAGCCTTGCCTTTTAGCTTACCGACAGGACTGGCAGGCTATACCATTCTGTCGGCTGGCAGCGCAGCAGCCTTGTCAACGGACTTCAAGATGCTTGATGGGCGGGAGGTTGTTCAGAGCGAGGCCAAGGCTGGGGAGCCATTTTCACCTACTTTTATGTCCTTTACTTTGCCATCCTTTTGATGCACCGCGAACGGAGAGATGATGCTATGTGCGCGAAGAAATATGGAGAAGACTGGGAGGAATACAGGAGGATTGTGAAGTGGAGAATCCTGCCTTGGGTCTACTAGATGGACGTGCAATCTGCCACATCTGTACACTACTTAACCAGAGACTCACACAAGCTAGGAGGCAGGAATGCTTGAATTGCGGAAATTGTAGGAGATATAATAATTACTTCAAACACGGAAGAATTCCGAAACTTGTTGCATACGATTAACTAAGAAGAGGTATGCCGGATACATTTACTTCAACAAACGGCAGTCATGCGATGCGTGCATTCAAACCATAGGAAGATTTGATTCTAGAAAGCAATCCATGCATCCAAAATAGACACGTGTGAATTAAATGGAGTGGGAGGTGACGAGATATAAAGTAGGGTTTGCAAATTAGTACTACCAGCTAGTTATGGCAGGGACTAAACATCGTACAGCGTATCTACAAGTCTATATAATACATAATGGATGGCCCTGGAGCAGTTATATCCTACTCGCTCCAGCCCTTCTTTCCACCCCTTCAATAAGGGACAGGACCTTTGTTTTTCAGTTATCCGCAGCGGGCTGAGGAGTGCTTTCGTCCGATTCCCAACCAGGGGCAGTGAGTCCGAGCCGTTTGAACTCCTCATCGCTAACGATCTTCACCGTCTTGAACTTCCACTTACCCAACTTGAGGAATAGAATATTACCATCAACAATGAAGTCTTTGGTCTTCTCCGCTGGCCATGTTAAAATGGGTGTAAAGGCCAGGTCGTCCGACATTGGGCCAGAGTTTCCCGGGCGGCTCCCCACATAAGCCCCTTTGTTCGTAACAATGCGATGTCCTTCACCTTTAGAAGCAACCAGGCCCGCAGACCACAGGATCTTGTGGAAGTTTTGGCCATAGACTAGAGACTCGGGGAGGGTAACCTGGATACTAGGCATGTTTGCGAAATTAGTTTGAGGGGCATACTGGTTCCCTGACTGGGGGTTTATGAAACCCGATGTTGGCGATTGGGCATGGCTGGCAGGTGGACTGGACTTTTTCTGCAGGGGAGTAGGTTCAGCTGTTGACGACCGTGAGCGGAATAATTGACGGTGTTGGAGAGCAACTGCGTCCGCCTCTTGTTTGCCGTGAATAAGCTCCACGAACTCTGCAGCGAGCGCGTGCTGAGCAACCCGTTTGGACGGGTCGTTGTTTTGCTCTTCCATGAGCTTGGCAATCTCAGGCAGAGGAAGGAAAGTAAACATTTTAAGATAGCGCTCGACAACATCATCCGGAGTCCGAACAAAAAACTGCCAGCGGTTAGTGAAATGCCTTGATTGGGGCTTACAACAGAACAAACCTGATACAGCTCGAAGGTGGAGGTCATATCCTTGTCAAGCCAAATAGCGTTGCCGGCAGACTTTCCAAACTTTTCACCATTGGGTGCCGTTAGCAGTGGCGTCGTAAGCCCAATAGGGTTGTCTATATCGTTTTCCAGAGGGTCTCTTTCCTGCTCCATGGCCGTGTTCTTGCTAATGGCCTTCACGGAGTCCATACCAAACAGAATGTTTCCATACTGATCGGTGCCTCCCACTTGGACTTGAACACCGTTCTTGAAGAGAACCCACCAGTCCCATGCCTGCAACAAAGGATAAGAGAACTCTGAGAATGACATGCCATCACCTTTCGACAGCCGGTTCTTGACACTAGATTATATGTCAACCAATGTGTCCTGAAAGGGAACGAGTGCATAGAACGTACGTCTCTCTGCCTAACATCGGGCCAAGTCGCATGTGAGCCCCAAGGTCCCGAAGAACTTCAATGAATGGCACCTTGTTCCACCATGTGTTGTTATTGACCAAAGAACGCTTCCATGCCCATTTCTTCTCGTACCCATGTCTCTTGCCGTATTGTTCAATGCTTGCGCCTAGCTTCTTCAACTGCATGTGCATGCTAGCCATGTTCGCTTTTCGCACCGAGCTGTGGACTTGTTCTCTTCCTTTCAGTCGTCCTGTTGGGTCACCGACGCGGGATGTGGCACCACCAAGCTGTTCCGCATTAGACAGACATCACGAGAGATATTCTCAGTAAGGTATACTGACCACCCATGTCACCGGCAAACCCCATACGTAACCCCAGGCCAAGACCATGAACGGCAACATGTGGCCGACGTGTAAAGAAGGAGCAGTAGGGTCTACTCCAGCATACATCCCTGCCCTCTTCTCTGTGAACACTCTATGTAAAAGCTCCCGTTCACTGTAGACCCGGACGGGAACAAGTCAGTCGCAACGCCCAGCGTTTACCGGAGAGTACCAATGGCCCCTGAAAATGACTTACCCGACAACATCATGCAACAGCCCTCTTTCCTCGAGATGCTGTGCAAAGTTCTTCCGCTTTCCAGCTTTGATCTCTTCCGCGAACTCAGCCCACTCCTTCTCCGCCTCTTTCGTCCTCCGTATGTGCTGCTGTGTGATCCATCTTGTTTGCCCGACAACGCCTCCGCTAGCCGTGATCCTTGGCTCAGGTCGACCGACATTGGATTGTAATGTGCTCTTTTGCAGGGTCTCGGCCGTGCGTACATAGTTACGAACGCCGCATAGTGGCTGTCGAATTGGGGAAGCAACTGGGACGCGAAGGCGCGCCGCGCGAGGTAGGGCTCCTAAATTCGGTCTCATCGGACCAGATTATCGCAAAATTCGATCAATCACAAGTAAATATGCGATTGCCCGTCCGTGAAATTGAATCAGAATGGGAAGATGCCGGGTTGTTATCCAGTAACTTTTAATCAGATCTCCGACGATAAGAAACCGGCGGAGAATCTTTGATGCGAAGCTTATTTCCTAAATGGTCAAGACTATCAAGCTCCTAAATTTCGCAATTGAGTTTTACATAACGCATCTATAAGTTGTATTGCTGTGCCCTTGTCTTGACTCTTGAGTCAATGGCCCTGAGAAGATATCTCTTACTTTGTTACTAAGTCTTTAGTTTAAATTACACGAACTACAAGGTTAGGTTGGTTGAAGACGGATTACATCTGGCAATACTGCCGGAGATTTAGGGATTGAACACGTTTATATTGTAAAGTACTCGCATCAAGCATAGGTATGCAAGAAACTGATGTCACGTCGTTGATGTGCAGAGCCCTGTCATTAAGGCACTGTCCGAGAACTAGCACCATTCCAGGGTCGTTGACACATAACTTGCTCGTGCAAGTAGAACACCGCCAAGTATTGTATTGTATCAGAGATGCCTGCATCGCGTCCGTCGAAGTAACAAGGTGGTGTGCCGAACGCCTTTATCACCCTCCCTCCGTCAGGATCCAAACAGCCCTTAAGCCCCGAAAGGAGAGCCGTAAGGTTCCATGAGAAGAGATAGATCAACTATTACACACTAGGCTTTCATCATCTATTGTATGTTAGCAAATTGTTCGCATTAGGCTGAAAGAAGTAAAATGTATATCTCACCTATTCAAAACTTGGAAGGATGGAGAAAGAAAATTGGACGCGGAATTTCGGAGATTTTTATGTAGTGGGCCATCTGACGCTAATCCCTGTTGGTTGGGCGGAAAGATTCTGCCACAGTCTTGCGATTATTCTGAGTCTACCATCTTTCTCATTCGTGATACCTTTGGGTTAATATTAGCAATTGGACTTGTAAAAATCTTTCGTTTCTTCTCAATTGAACAGCCTTCCCTCAGTCTTTGTATCTAACACAAGTATGTTCTTGAGTAGAGCGGGGCGGCTTCCTCCGCGCCTTTGCTCAAGCTATATCGGGATCTCGAACTATCTCCGCAGCAGTAGAACAGGATTGAGTGCAGGTATTCAAGGTCGTACTTATTCTCCAAAACTGTTTCATACAAAGTCTGTCGTTTGTGAGCAGCATGATTCTATAGTGGAGCACCCGCAGTTCCTAGAACAATACAAGCAAGCCGGTACTTATACCTTGTCATATCCTGATCTTCGAGCAATCTGAGAAGCTAATGCATTAGCTATACAGTTGAATTCCCCGCTGCTACATATGACTTTGAATCATTTCTCTCCCAGGCTACCCCGGATGAAGAAGTGGTACTCCATGGCTATCTCGGAGTTCGTAAGGATCTGTCCAAGAAGCTTGCCTTCGTGCGCTTAACAGACCCTACGATGCGCCATAGCATCCAGCTAGTCTCGCTCGCCAAGAATGGCGCATTGGAAAAGCTCAAAGCTGTGAGAGCCAACAGCCCCGTTGCTGTCCGAGGAAAGGTCAAGGCGAAGCAGGCGAAAGGCTCCGAGATGGAGAAGACCGATCCCTGGGAAATTCAGGTTGATGATATTCGGCCACTAAATGACTTCCCAAATGATATCATAATGAAGTCCGATACTGTTTTTGCCCCGAAACAGCGATTCCTACAGCTGCGTTCTGACAGCGATTTGCGTGATGCGCTGCGATTCCGCGCTCAGGTGCACAATGTCTGCAAGGAAGAGCTAGAACAGTGCCGGCCACCGTTTGTGGAAATAGAGACGCCTCTTCTGTTCAAGTCGACACCTGAAGGTGCTCGTGAATTTCTTGTCCCAACAAGAAAGCGTGGCTTGGCATATGCTTTACCTCAGAGCCCGCAACAGTATAAGCAGATCTTGATGGCCAGTGGGATACCAAGATATTTCCAGTTCGCGCGCTGTTTCCGTGATGAGGACCTCCGTGCAGACAGACAGCCGGAGTTTACGCAGGTAATGGCGCTCCGCACCATATCAATTTATCCTTGGTTTGCATTTCTAACAATTGACTAGCTCGATATGGAAATGTCTTTTGCAACCGGGGAGGACGTTATGCGGACCGTGGAAGGAATCATACGCAGGCTGTGGTCAACTTTGATGAAAGACCCTGCACCATCCGGCCCCTTCCAAAGGATGTCCTACCAGGACGCCATGAGTCGCTATGGTTCCGACAAGCCTGATACTCGGTTCGGGATGGAGATTTCGCGAATTGAGCACCTCCTTCCAGTGGATCTCGTCAGCAAGATCACACCTCTGGCCCTCCCTATTGTTGAGGTCTTCAGACTCGAAAACAACGACAATGACCCCGCCGCCATGTCCGAATTCATCTCGCAATTCCTTGACTCTCCAGCTGGAGTACCCTTTAACAACAACCCAGAAGGTGGCCCAGGCATTTTCGTGTACGACGCAAAGAAACCCTTATGTGGCTTACAGCCTTTTGGTTTCGAGGCAGCCGAGTACCTAGAAGAGCTACTCGAGCTCGACCACGGCGATCTCATCGTAATCCAAGCCCGTGAAAAGGCCCCCTTCTCCGGCGGCTCGACTCCAATTGGGGACCTCCGCCGCGCCCTCCACTCCGCAGCTGTCACCTCCGGATTCAAGCCTGCCCCCACAGGCTTCGACTTCCGCTGGATAGTCGATTTCCCGCTCTTCTCTCCCTCCAGTGACTCGGAGCCCGGCCAAGGCGGCGCAGCCGGAATCTCATCCACGCACCACCCTTTCACGGCCCCCAAGACTGCCGCCGACGTCGACCTCCTCCTAACAGACCCCACGAGGTCGTCGCAGACCACTATGACCTCGTCGTCAACGGTGTCGAGCTCGGTGGTGGCAGTCGCCGTATCCACGACGCTGCAGTCCAGGAGTTCATTCTCCGAGATATTCTCCAGATGCCCGCCGAGCGGTTAGCGGATTTCTCCCATCTGTTAGAAGCTCTGCGAGCCGGATGCCCGCCACACGCGGGCTTGGCTTTGGGATTCGACCGTCTTGTCGCCGTGATGCTGGGCAAGGAGTCTGTGAGGGACGTCATCGCATTCCCGAAGATTGGCAAGGTTGGTGAAGATCCGATGGTTAAGGCACCTAGCGCTATGACCAAGGAGACATTGGAGACATACCATCTTCAACTCAAGGAGTGATTTTTGGTCTCAGGGCTACGACTAGCTATCAAGCTGTATATTTACGATGGGTCTGTACTATAGATAGATGTAACATATGATACCCGATCTCTTCTCAAGTGAACTTTTGAAATACCCGTAGTGCATTGGCATATTGGGTCATCTGGCCAATAGCTATCCATGAAAGAATGCAAATATAGAAGGAAATCATGGTTATATATACCTACAGTTCGGAGATGTCAAGAGCAACCATGTCTGTTATACAAAACGCCATCACCGTACAAAAAGGGAATCAATCTAATACACAAGAACCAAGGCAAGGCTACAGTGAAGGAATATCACTTAGTAACTATGCTGCATTGGCAGGGCGGGAACCAGCGACAGATGCCGACTGGGGTGTGATCTTGTTTCCTATCTCTCCATCTTCACTTTCGTCGTCATAGTAGAGATAATCATCCTCGTCTTCTTCGGGTTGGCCGAATGCGTTCCTCCAGACACCGTCCCATAAGCCCTTCTTCGTAACTAGACCACCGACAAGCAGGATGGGAAGTTGCCAGATACTGGCCCAGAACAGACCGCGGGCTGTGCCATTGGCACCTTGATGCTGCCAGAAATGGTATGCTTCTTTCACCAGCCAACCGTTTGCGATACTGCTACTGACCAAGAAGCCGTGGCCGACAACACCGACATACCAAAGACCAATGGATATCGGGAACATCAGAATGGAATAACGCAGCGCGACGCGGGCATTGCGAGCGGGGTTGACCCAGCAGAGCATCTTGTATCCAGCTCTCTTGTACTCTTCGCGGATGGTGTGGGAGAGGGCGTTGAAATGGGGGAACTGCCATGCGAACAAGATCCCTCCGAGCAGCCAACCACCAATGCTATCTTTGCTAAAGAGCATGTCGCGCCATGTGTCGTGGCCCGTTGTCGCTGTTTGGCCAGCCGCTGCGACCCAACCCATCAACGGAGGAATACCTCCTACGATAGCGCCGACCCAGGTATTGATTACATGTATACGCTTCAATGGCGTATAAACGAAGGCGTACAGGAAGATGTTCGCAGCCGACAGACCAGTCACGGTTGGGTTGGTACCGAAGTATAGCAAAGCGAGACCCGAGGCGGCTGTGGCAACGGCGAACACAAAGGCAGCACGACGGGAGACGAGACCACGGACGATAGGCCTGTTGCGTGTCCGGGACATAAGTGCATCATATTTGGGCTCGAACATCATATTCAATGTATTGGCGCTGCAAGACGAAAGGAATGTTCCCGCCGTGAGGTAGAGAAGAGTAAGTGTAGAAGTTGATAGGGTCGGAAGCGGCGTCATTGATGGGTCAAGAGCAAGGAGAGACGAGATAGGGTACATGCCATATGCAGATGTTGTAGACAGCACGATCAACACGGAAAGACGAGGTTTTGTTAGAGCAAGATAGGCGGCTAATTTGCGGCGGATAGAGGTTTTGGGGAGAGTGGCTGAGAGGTGCGACAACTGCGCTGAGGCATCTGGCGGGATAACATGATCTGCTCCATTATTTCCAGCTGCTTCTTCCTTTAGACGTTTCCTTCGACGATGAGGCAATTCCGACTCAATTGATTCCGTAGAAGCTGACCCCGCTTCGCCTTCGCTTCTGGGGGTATTGGCAGCATTCGCATGCGCGGGACTGGTGGGTGATAATGAGGGGGAAATGCCATCCTTGCTCGGTGTACTCCCAATGCCTCGATTCGCAGAGAAATACGTCTTCTGGAGGACAGCGGAAGAGGATTGATCATCTGCAACACTTGACTGCGATCGCGCGGACGACAGGAAGCTGCGGAGGGCGGAGGGCGGATGAGGACGGTTGTTGCGTATGAGACATCGCGAACATACGAGGGACGGATCCCGAGTCGATCCTAGCCTCCGGAAAGAGGAGCGGAGGAGGATCATGGCGAGAAGAACATGAAAGAGGATCTGTTAATCAGTCATTGAGCCTCGTAGAACGAGGTCAGAATTCCGATGTGCCCTATCGCGACGGAGAATAATTCCTTCGCCCGGCCGTAGAAACCACAACCGCAGATTGGCGAGTTGTCTTGACAGCTATCAATCAGTCCATCTTAAAAAAAAGTTCCGTCTTACAACCCTCACCTCACCGAGCTTGCCTGGGCCTTTCTGTTCGTATATATCTTACAACAGTTAACCTCAAGATGGCTGCTTCCATCATGGAACCCCTCCAACAACATATTATCACCCCTCTCCAACCTTACCTCCGCCAGATCGTCTCGTCGCTGCCAGAACCGGTCCACGATACCGTCACTTCGCTAATCGGATCATCCTGCCACAACGCTCTCTTGGTTGATCTCGATGTCACCAAAGATCCTGCCTGCACATCCCTTGCCATCTCCAAGGCGCTAGGAATTGCCATCGTGGGTGCCAGCGCTATCGTGAAGGTTCCCCAGATTCTGAAGTTGATCGGATCTCGGTCCTCGGCCGGCGTGTCCTTTGTCTCGTACGCTCTCGAAACCGCTAGCTTGCTCATCACTCTGTCATACAGTGTGCGCAATCAGTTCCCTTTCAGCACTTATGGCGAAACTGCGTTGATCGCCGTACAAGATGTAGTGGTGGGTGTCCTGGTGTTGACCTTCGCCGATCGGCCAACTGCGGCTGCGGCGTTCATTGCCGTTGTTGCGGCCAGCGTGTACGCATTGCTGTTCGATCAAACTTTGGTGGATGTGCAGACCATGTCCCTTTTGCAGGCTGGTGCTGGTGCCCTGGGCGTTGCGAGCAAGTTGCCCCAGATCATTACCATTTGGCGTGAGGGAGGCACTGGACAGTTGAGTGCTTTTGCGGTACGTACCCGGCTTTATTTCATTCTTAGCCAGCTTGGAAATTTGACTAACGTGAATCTAGGTATTCAACTATCTTGCCGGCTCTCTGTCCCGTATCTTCACCACCCTCCAAGAGGTAGACGACAAGCTGATTCTCTATGGCTTCATTGCCGGCTTCACTCTAAACGTGATTTTGGCAACCCAAATGGTGTACTATTGGAAGGCGCCGGCGAAGCCGAAGAAGGCGAAGAAGGCAGCCCCCAAGCCAGTGGAGAGGACTCCAGTTGCACGGAGCTCGGGCGCATCTCCTTCTCCCAAGCCGTCTGGAAAGACCCCGACTACCCGACGCCGTGGTTAGGTTCGCTATTGATTACTTTTCTCAGTATGCAGTTTTAATGATACAACGTAATACATTCCCTTCACGATATGTTCTATCCTCATTTCCTCGTAACTTTTTAAACCACCCATCCATAAATTACCTCTTCCCAGGCTCCGCTCCAGTGGTCATAAACCTCAAAATATCCTCCAACGGCACCGCAGGCTCCACAAACTTCTGCTGGTGATGCTGTGCAGGCGCAATATCAAACTCAAACCCAGCCCCAGCAGACTGCCTCCTAACACCGACAATCTCCATCTCATCATCCTCCCCTTCCTCCTCATCCTCACTCTCACTCCCCTCATCCTCCAACACCCTCGCTAACCCCCGTAACAACATTCTGCACCCCCATCTCCCTCTCCTCAAGCGTAAAATTCCCACCCCAGTTCCTGCGTCTCGCCTCCTCGTTCGCCTCCACAGGTGCCCAATCCCACAACTCCGCCAGCTCCGCCTCCGCCAGCCGACTTATCCTCCAGCGCAGACGCGCCCGCCTTGCGACCGCGCGCAACCCAGTCCTCGACGCGGGGGTCGAGTTTCGTCCGCAGAAGCTGTTCGAGCGTGTTGGCCTGCGTACGGCCCGGGTAGTCGGGGCCCGGGTAAGCGACAAGAGAGGTGAGGAGCTCACGGTTGTCGGAGAGGTGGTCGGAGACACTGAGGAGGTTGTTTGAGATGATGCTTGCTTGGGATTGGAGGGAGGACCTTTCAACATAAATTAGCTTTCGTGCGACAATTACCTTGCCTATTCATCCATTATCCGGAAAATCGGACGCATGGCCGATGAAACCGACTGGCTGGAACTGTATAGACGTACCAGGATGGCAGAGGATCGCTTTGATTTAGACTTCCTATAAGGGACGCCAGGGAGCGCGTGAGCTGCACCAATCGCTGGCGGGATTGTTCGAGGGTTTTGAGCTGTTCATGTGTTGGGGTGGCCATTTTGCCTGTTTTTCCTTTTGGGTGGGTGCTATTGGTTTGCTTTGAGATTCTGTTTCAATGGTGTGGTTGGAGGGTGGTAGTATTTGTTGGATGCGATTTGGAGATCCAATCCAAAGTAAATGCCCGATTAGATGCTATCGCTTGATCGGGTTTAGTGTATGTTTTCCCCCCTCCATAGATTGGGTCAGTAACGTTGATAGAGGTAACCGCCCACACCACCCAAGTAGATACGATGCACAAGTCCTATGGACAGAGTACAACTCAAGGTTCATAACTGCCCACGAGCCCCTTCTGAATAATGCTATAACCAGCTTAGACTCCGGCTAATATCACCTGTGAAGAATCCTGCAGAGTTCTATTATTATCTTTGCCAGCTTTGCATGGTGGTGATTGGAGCTTGGCCGAGTGACATGAAACTTTTAGACGCCTGTCGGTCCAATCTCGTCGTGACTTGGCCCTCGCTATGCCGTGTTTATTTTTAGAGTCGTCCATCCTTCTGCGTTTTGATCTTCTGCGTGGGCGGGGGAGCTGGTATATATAATCCTGTTACTTTGACTGTGAGATTTCTCCGCTTACTTTTTTTGCTCTTTGTGCGTGTGTGGACTTGGATATGTATTTCCGACTATGATATATGACATGAGATGGAAGTCGACTTCCATCGTGGGAGATTACAAAATGGGGGGCGGATATTTTCGCTGAATGGTCAAGGAATGGAAGGGGTATATCGCGATGAGCACAGTTCTCTTCATCGAGTTCATGAAACATAACGACATGCAAAACGAACTAACATGCACGAAACCATGCATGATTTATCGGCTTGGGGGGACCTTGCGCATGAACCAGTTTATGACTGTTGGTCATTATTATCGCTTCTGCTTGGAATCCTGGCCGAAGTACTCAGGGTACTCGGGGTTTTTCTGTTTCTCTCCGTCTGGGGAAAGGTTCAGGGGAGGCGTTGCGACCGCGGACGCAGTTACCTCGGTGAGATTCTTGGAATAACCAACATCCCGGTATTGTCCGTCGTTATCGACGAAGCTGAACCCCTGCTGCTGCCCGTGACCCTGCTGATACGTGGTGGGGCTGTACATCTCGTGGTAGTTCGCCCACGGGGTACTGATGCCAGTATCGTTCCACCGGGCATGGAGGTGGCTGGATTGTCGGTGCTTTCGGGCCTTTCTGCGACGCCACCGAATGAAAAAGAAGCAGCATATGGCCATCGCACACAACAGAATTACGAACCCCAGGACCGGGAGTGCGATCACCAGAGCCAGGTTTACCCCGGGACCACCGGTCGAGGTTGGGTTGATAAGGTCTACCGTGGAGGATGGTAACAGCGACTCGCTGAAAATCCTCGTTGGGTTGATAGGGAATGCGAAGCCCGTGGGTGTTCGAAAATGGCAGTTATATCGAAGCGCTTCAAGGACTGCGTTTCAAAGGTTCAAGTCAGCTCCGCAAGTTACTCAGGATGATGGGGGTTCTAACGTACAGTTCGCCATAAAGACCTGCGATTGACCATTTGTCGGATCCTGGGTCTGGGTGAGGGTGAAATTATAGCACTTTTCGCATTTGGTGATGCCATTGTCGGCGAACGACGAAGTGCCACACCAGGTGTAAAAGTTGTTCGCACCCGGGTCTGTCAGATCAAACTCTAGGGCTCTGTCCAACGGCTGACAATTCACTGTACACTGCGTGGAGATATTGCTCACGCTTGTAGGGTAGCCATAGACACAGGAGGTGAAAGTATAACGAAGATTGTCTACAAAGCTCCGATGGTTAGAGAGCACCAACAGGCGGACACAGTGTATACTTACAAAGCCCCCAGTCCACATCCGTCTCCCCAGAAGATGGGTCATTGTAAGTACTGCGCAACTGACAGTCGACACACTGCCTGAATTGCGACCCTTTGCTGGTCGCAGTGAAATCGGTATCTAGACAGGTAATCTCGGACCCCGTCGTGTTGGTCGATTGCTTATTGCAAACGCTCGCACATGGCGATCCTGGCGCTGTCCGCAACGCCACAGCCAGCGGGACTAATTGGCAGAGGAGAATTAAGACTACCGCCCATTTAGACGTAGATCTCGGAACTAGGCCCCAGGAGCCGAGCATGTTGGTGGAGGAAGTGGTCTCCAGATACTGTCTGCACTACGACAGCCAAGAGGGAAAGCTTGTCCGCAGTGTTGGCATTTAATACTCAACACAACTGCGGACCCAGCGTGGATGAAAAGGGGAGGGGAAGCACCTCAATTGTCCGGTGCGGGTAGCAGAGGGTGACGAGATGGCTGAACTTGCGGTTTTTCACAATGACTGGACGCCGAGAGAGAGGCCTTACCGGTGCCTTCATGGGATTGATAAGGCACAGAGTAGTATTCGTGGTGCGATCATCGTGCTTGGAAGCTGTCAAGCTAGTCAAGACTGAACAAGCATACAGGGTGCAGCTGGGCGCTAAGAGTACCTGTAAAGGACAAGCAATGGAAGGTTGATCCTTGCTCAGTGACAGGTGGTTCGTGTGATGAGCGTGATGAGGGATTGGCGAGGAGTGATTGTGATTGTGACGGCTTCTGCAGATGGTCGCATCGCCTCTGCGCTTGAGGCTTTCCATTCGTCGATCTCCCTTAGAACCCCTCATCTTTTTGTTTCCTGTCGATTATCATTGGTGAAACTCCTCCTTGGAAGATGCACAGTGCGATTTTGAGCATCGGAACATCCCTCCGAAATGCTCATCCTGTTGTGTTGCTCATTTGCAGGTTCTTTGGCACTGGGCGCTTAGAAGAATCGCAACTCACAGTCCCTGCATTGCGTTTGCCTTTTCCCCGAACCAGGAAATGGAACAGAGGACGAAATAAAAATGAATAAAAAATAAAAATAAAAAAAACAGGGAACTAAAATAAAATCAAATAATGTTCAACAAATCAAAAGGTTCATACAACGCCATTTATTCGTGATTATATGTCATAATAATAACAGGAAAATAATAATTGTGTACAAATTCTAGTCCCCGAAAGTACTGTTGGTGGTCGCTCCGTCGAAATGCCTTCGCGCCAAACATCAGTTAAGCGCAATTCGCCATCATTGGCTGTCATGCACAGGGTAAATCAAATCACTCATAGACTACTACTAGTAGTAGTACTTGGTCAACTCGGACTAAATGGAGCAAGAGAAAAAAACAAAAAGGAGAAAAAGAAAAAGAAAAAAAGAAAGGAGAAAAATAAGCCTCCCACATGAGAATACGAATTAGATAGTAACGCCACAATGCAAGTTTGTTCTTTCTCGCCGGTGGCACCGAAAAAGAAATGGAAGAGAGAGGCGAAGAATAAAAGAAATAAGCAAAGAAAGATCCCAATCGGTAGATCAGTGGTTTTCATGACTCATGGTACCTTAACGTATTAGGGTTCTTGCACAGGAAGCTCAAAGCATTATCTCGAATCCAATATAGTGGACATCAACTATCCGTAAAGATCATCGTACGACGGAACTAACTCCTGTTCTGCAACCGGTGCAGGCTTCGGCCGATGCATAAGCTTGGTATCGCGAGGACTCGGTCGGTGTCCAAGTCGAGGGTCTTCCGACGGCACTGAAGGGGTAGACGACGTATAACTAGTATGTCTCGAACTGGATGTAGCTGGTATAGATGCTGTCGGGTCGGTTGTAGCACTCTGCAAACTGAAATGGCGCATTCGTGATGTGACCGACAGCGGCGGTGATTTGGACGCGCGCGAATAGGCACCGCTTTCCTCGTGGGATTTGGTGCGAGACCTGTCTCGTGGATATTGCCCCTTCGGACTATAAAGGCCGGATATGGAATCCTCTTCCTCATCGGTCGAAGATTCGTCAAACCCATCCCTCACTGTAGGATGGGCGTTAGGTCCTAGTATAGGACTTGGAGGGGGCGCCTTTTTCTTCGATCGCCCTCGTAGCTTTGAGTCGTAGTGTCCCGTCGGCATAGTCATGGCCGAATCAGTGGACGATGTCCGCTCTTTGAAGTTTCCCGAAGGTAGAGTAGATTTGTGGCCATGGCGATCGAGCGAATCAAGGGAACCATGTCGTCGACAGTGGTCTAACATTCTAACGGGTACCGAATTGGGTGTTCCAACAGGTGACTGTTCATATTGACTCCAGGAGCCGGCATTGGGATACGTGATAGCCACATCTCCCCAGCGGGAGTGCAGCTCCGAAGAGAGCTTTCGCTTTCTTCTTAATTTTTGAATGATACCTGTCATGATATCCAAAGGGCTTTTCATAGAATGAAGTCTGCCCACATATGTGTGGTAAGCGTTTGAGCTTCAACTAATGACGAGTGGCTCAAAGCATACAAAATTTCAGGTCAAAAGTGTGCGTGACGCATACCTTGAAGCTGGCAAGCTATGCGTGTCGCTCGTCTACCAATTCGTCGAGAGGGGTCGAGGACTATCTAAACGGAGCAGAGGACGGGAAATGTGGAAGTATTGGGGACCACCAGTCTGCATGGGATAATGATATATCAGTATACGTCCATCGACGACATACCGCCCGTCAAATGGCATCTGCATGTCTCTCTGAATTGGCGGCAGAGAAAAGGTCTCCCGGAGAGATAGACTGTCAACGGGCGGGCTCCCAGGCAAATTTGGTGCGAGTAGGCTAAGGGGACGCGTCTTGGACCCGACAGTCTGGTCCGCCCCTCCTCTACCCCCTTCCGGTGGAGGTTGACAGAGCACCAGTAGATGAAGACCGACTGACCGATCTCCCTTGGTCACCGAGGAGTCTTCGAAAGCAGCACAACGACTGGCGATGGTAACTGGCCCTAGGAAGCTGGGCCGACCATGATTATGACAGGGAAGCCAACCGGGTCCAACACACGGCTTCGTAGCTCATGAGGATAGGGCCGAACGAGGGGTGAATATTACGGCGCAGTCATCTTGCGTCTACCGTCGCCCACCACGACATGGATGTCAGTGTAGACCGGCGTGGGTCCTGGCTTGGCGTGGCGCTTCATGGCCAACATCACACTGGCGGGCAAACAGAGGACAGGGGACAGAACAGAGCTATGTCTTGGGAGCAAGGATGTTGTACAACTCCTTGCCGTTTATAGGTGCGTCGACCCCGCGAGCGCAAGCGATGCAACATCACCTCCCAGGCAAGGTGGAGGGCGATCCCTTCGTATGACTGGCGAAGTGTCAGATGAGTTAATAAATGAGGCCCATTGTGCTCAAGGGACCGAAGTCTCTTTACCTAACGTCTCCACAGACACCAACACAGTTCTTTGCACACGGAACCATAATTCCTTCCGCCATGGAGGGGTGAAAAGAGGGGAAAGGGAGAAAGTCGTTGGCTGGCGCGAGAACAAGCACCCGGTTGATCGTCGCGGTTGAACCCGAACCATCCACCGAGCTTATCTACGCGCCGTGATGGAGACGATGTGGGATGGCCAATATAATAAACTCTTGTCCAAGATAAACGAATTGTTGAGTCCCTGCAGCTAGACAGTTTGGGAATTTTGACCAGGTATGAACGCCCCAGCGAGGTGTCTTGTCAAATGACCCATGACAAATTCCTCCGCGACATCCTTGCCCTAAAATCCCCATCGGGCAGCTCCATTTGATCCTGGTAAGTAGCCTCAATCGCTGTACAACGACGGTAGACATCTTCTGCAAGTTATAGTTATTTAGTCTTAACCTCAGTGGTTTAATGGCTGCGAAAGTCAGCAGTCCATTTACTCCAATAGGTACGGAGTAGTTGTTAAAGATACCGTATAGTATGTGCCGATATCAGACTGCTGATATTATGGCTTGAGGCTGTGATAGACTATGACTCACGTCCAGATCGTTCTATGGCTTACTTCATGTCCCATCTATTCGACGATAGTAGCTTTTTTTTATTTTTATTTTTTTCTTATTGTATTTTATTTTATTTTCCTGTCTTTCTGTACCTCCGTTTCTTTGTTCTTGAGTGGCCGAGCATTTAGTCCCACTGCTAATATCCGCCGGAATGCTACCCTGCAGATGCCATGGACGTCACGCCCAGAAGTACTAGTACTAGACACCATATCCAACAAGACACAAGCGCCAGCACCGGCTTCAATGATCAATCCCTGTAATAAGTCGGACTGATGGAGTCATCTTTACACACCCTGTGAGACTGTGCCCCTCACAAGTACGCAACCAGGTAGACTAAGTAGACAGGTCCCACCAACTCTCCAGTACTTTTTCACCGTTCTTTCCTTTCTCCCTTCCTGTGTATGCTTTTCACTGCTGCAGGCGGACTGTCTCAAGTACTACTGGTAGAGATAATGGCCCAGTTATTGCCCTTTTTCTTTTTTCCAATGAGTCGGACTTGGAAGTTGTTAGTAACTTGCCATCCTCATTTTACCAAGTGGACCTGTTTCCTCCCCCCAGATATTGAGCACGAAATATGCAAGCAGTGACATAGTATTCTTCATTAGTGGAAGAGACCTATATCTAAGTCTTTGCTGGCTCTAGATGTTTGGCTTGTTTGGCTATGCTCATGCCGTTCTGTGGAAGGAGCCATCGTTTGAATCAGGATAGGAAAGGATGTTAGTTCCGCCCTCTCTTGAATATCAGCATCAGCCTCCCTCATTATCCTACTTGTTACATCTGGTTCCACAAAGGGTGAGTTGACAGTGCCATCAAGACAACCTCATCACTTACTCACTCAGGTTCAACCTCAGCAGGAACATATGTACATTGTATATTCTGCTGTGCACAAGAACGGGCAAAAGCATGATTGTCCACTTTCCTTTGGATCATGGTCTAGCACATCACATCCATCAGAATACCGTGACAGCGAGACATTAGCTACGAGCCCATACTCTAGCGACCCAGGACATGCTTCATGGTCATCATCAATATCATTATACCTAACGCCGCGGCATAGGAACGCAGAGATCGTTACTGTCATGAACCCATCGTGTCGCTTCCCCAACAAAAAGGAGGAAGCCCGGAAGCAAACAGCAAAAGAGAAAAGCACACCATACACCATACGCCGTATTGACCCATTTATCCATTCCAATCCCATTTACCGATCCAACGCTAACCAAACCCCACAGATCCATCCCATGTGACAAGTTGAAACCAAACCCTAATTAAAATTCGTGACCAACCTCGACAGAACAGGTTTTGGTCGTCGAAGTGACTGGGCCCCCTCTAAAGGTCGAGAGAAATTGGTGGTGCTACTAGTCGAGTCCATCGACCGAGAGCTCTCCAGTGACAATCCCCGGTGCTCTGCTTGAGACGAACTTCTCTGTGTCTCCGCGGGTCCTGTGTACTGCTGCTCGACTCCTCGAATAAAAGAGAATGGTCTTTCCTCAAACATACCGACCGGATCCACCTGGGTCGGTCGATTGATCTTAACTGATGGTGGCAGTTGACTAATGCCGTGGTACTTCGAGGGGTCATAGGCGGGTATAGTGGTATATGCGGGTGGTGGGGTGTCCCCGGACAGTCTACCACGAGGATGGGTATGACTTTGCTCTCGTGGTTGGCTATAGGAATACATTGACGAGTAGGGTCGTGGCCGTTTTATTCCCTGGTTGTCGGAGGGATATTCCTGGGGCGTATATCCCATCGGTGCATGCATGACCAACATGTTCTCCTCGTATTGTCGGATGCGATCCCATCTCCGTTTCTTGAAGAGGATGAACAAGATCCCCGCAGTGACTAGTTTGACGTCAACAACATGATTTCGGTGAGCATATAGAGAAGAAAGGCTCTACTTACTAGCAATAGCAGCGACACAACCCAATACAACCCCGATGATAATCTGGTTGGTGGCTGGGTCACTCGATCGAGGCACCAATGACCTTGGGCAAAGAGGGAGAAACATATTGCTAGCTTGCGGGGTAAGATGGAAGGGATCGCTGACCGAGAGAAAACACTTGAGCTTCCCCCTCAGTTCAGTTCAGGTCAGTTCAGTTCAAGAAGAGCGGAGACTCCCCCCATTAAGAACTCAAGTTCACCTCCAGCCTCGTTTCAGGATGGCTTGTTTGAGATCATTTTAAGTTCCGATCAGGGCATCTGCTCCAGCCTTGAGTCGCGGCTAGCCAGCGTGACAGTATGCAGTGTATCCAGCACGCACCAGTCTGTGACAAAAGCAAGAACCCCAAAAATAGAAGAATTTCGGCGCGATTGCAGATTCATTGGCTGTCGATGATCGGTTTCGGAGCTGCAAGCGCTCGGATGGTCGTATCAGCGGCAATTGAAGGATCGGACCCGCATTAGTTGTGATCTATTTTAAAGTGAGCAAAATGAGGAGAAATCGGAAATTCTGAGTAACTGGTCGCGGATCCAACTTGCCTTCTATCATTCTAGAATTTTAAACATGTTCAAATCGGGCGTTTTCAGGATATGCCTGTCGGTCGGCTCGTTCTAGTATTCTATACGCCACGCGTTGTTAGAGGACTAGCCCCCAAACCTAACCTCAACGTCTACAGACCCCAGTGTACATGGAGAAAAGCATCCCATCCAAAATGTCTTATACTGTAGTGTTTCGAATTCTTTCGTTTACTCGGCATATGGTCGATACACAGCGATTCCCTTGTCCGTAGATAGATCCAAGCTCACCCCTTGTCCAACAAAGTATACATATCCCTCCTGCAGGTCGAACGTCTTGACAGACTTGCCCTCGGTCAATTCTAACCGCCCAGATCCTTTGGTGACAAAGAGCAGACTCGGTCCAGAAATAGCCTTGTGTGTTTCATACTCTCCGGCTCCCAGACTAGTCGCCAAAACGTTAAATTCACTGAAAGGAGGCGCATACTCATCCGATTTCCCATTGACACCCTTGTCACTCTTTCTCCGTGGCAAAAGAGCCTCGTCCACTCCGTGTGGTTTGAAACTCAGAGCGCGCGTGAATAAATCGACATTATCACGGTCTGCACGCGGACAAAACCCCGTGTTAATCACATTATCAGACCGCGCCATACACTCAACGATGTCACCACAAAGATACGCATGGATACTGTCCGCAGGTACGCAGACAGCCTCCCCAGGTCCAAGAGTAATGTAGTTCATCAGTAGCGCAGCAACGAGGTTACCATTGTCGAACTCGGTATATTGCTTGCTAAGTCGATCGAGCATCCCAGGGATATAACGATGCTTTCCAAATTGAGCTTCTGGGAGATCCTTAAGACCCTGAATGATCTCTGAGACAACGATCGGGGGCAAAGTGAGGAGCGTCTTGCAGAGTTCTCGTAGTACTTCGTCGTCGAATGGCTGATTGTATGGTACTAATTGCTCAACTGGCTTGAGCTTCATGATCGCTTCGATTTCACTAAGGGGTTTGAAGCCAGCAAAGAGCTCGAAACTGGACAGCGCGACTGCGATCTCAGGCTTATGATTTGGGTCATTGAATTGGTCTGGGTTTTCTTTGTGGAGTTGCTCTGCTAGTGATTTGTCTGGGTGGACTTGGAGAGGAAGCGCTTTACTAAATGAGAGGATCTGGTGGTTTGTTGCGTTAACTCATCTTCTGCTGAGGCCCAGCACACATTCCATGGAAGTACAAGACTCACTTTCGGCAAGAACGGAATTTCCGGCCCATACTTATCAAGCGCCGATTTCCCAACGAGCTGTGGGTTCTTCTTTAGATACTCGGAGAGGAGCTCGCCTGTTGAAAGAATTCGAGAAGGGACAGTCGGGTATGTGCCCATCCACATCTACAGATGTCAGAAGCAACGCCTTCGCTATTCCACATATGTAGCTGGAAGTACCTCAGAGTATGTTTGGTCATCTTTTACATCTCCGCTCTTTGGGGTCTTGGACCAAAGCTGACCGGCTAACGAGTTCTTCCCTTGTTTACCCCATGGATCATTCTGGAAAGGTAGAGTAGTTAGCATTTTGTAGTTGACATATTCAAGAACAATACTAGAAAAAGGATTGCTTATACCTTTACTCCACATTGGAGCTGAACGACCGGCTCCGCCATTGTCACGAATCGGGAGTATTATTCCCCTTGATTTTGATTAGTGTCTAGAGTGTGTTTAGGTGGAACCGGAGAGAACTATTCAACATTAGAGTCTGCCAGAGATAAGACAAGGGAAGAGAGTATTTATTTGTACGATGGAAGGCGGTCCTGCGTGAACATGTCGTCATGGATGGATGATCGCGACTTCCTTTTTGGGAAATTCCTGGTCATGACTTCATATCAGCCCTAACTCCAAGACTTCAGAATTTCCATGAAGCCAAGAGTTTCCCTTTCTTACAGATCCAGATGGAAGACTGCCAACAGGATATTCAACAGGAGGAATTCGGAATCAATGCTCCTTAATCGTCACACTGACGTCAGTGCCGGTAGTGCTTTTGAACACCGATTATATCCATGTAATTGAATAGAAGCAGTTCTAGATTGTAGATATCAGATGTGAGGTAACGTAAGCTCTTCATTATACGTGTATTCGTGGGAGTGATTCAGCCAACCACCAACGCCTTGCAAAGCCCTAACGCAGAAAATGCTCATCGCGCTATAACGGTCGCAGATATATACACCATCATGACATGATGATCAAGATTATAAATCTCAGAAAAAGAAGTCCATAAACTTTTATCCATAAATGTCCTCCGCATCGGGTACCATGGTCATAGTCATGCGCCTCGCAGCACGAAGCCTCTTCTTCTCTGACGATGAAGTCGTGTTCATTTGTGCGGCCATCACCCACTCACTATATTCGCCACTAGTTCTATATCCCGCCCGTGATGACCGGTGAGACCTCTCGTGGGGTTCAACGTAGTGATCGTACTTGTCCTCAAGATGAGAATCCCGGTAGTATCGCCTGGGTTGATTGTACCTCTCCTCAATCTCGGCGCGGTTGGACTGCATACTATGATGCGAACTCGCAGAGTATCTGTGGCTTCCTGTCGAGACAGCTGCAGCCCGGGTATCGGCAGGGATATATCGAAATCGAGGTGAATCATGACCCCGCGAAGCTGCTTTCTCAGCAACCTCAGTAGAGTAGTCTTGATGGATAGGTTTGTAGGCAAACTCGGTTCTTCGGTCGGGGTGGTGCAGATGCTCTTTCTCGTTTGGGTCCTCGGTGGAATGTCGTGACCGTGGAGCCAAACGCATCGAAAGACGACGAGGGTTCAATGTGCTCATGGAAAAGGAGTTCTGCCTAGATGGGGGAGTATTGTCCGGAGCAGAGGCTGCATCGTAGTTCTCCCGGGAGGATCTGGTAGAATTGCCCCTGGCGAGGCCATGACCATAACCTCTGTGAGTAGATTGCCGAGGGCTTTCGAGTTGATTCCATGATCCTTCAGTCGGAGCTGATATTGAGACGTCTCCAAACCGTTCATGAAGGGGCTTGTAGGTGTCGTTCTTGCGAAGGCGGTTCAGGGGCCGCTGTACGATGCTTGCCATGATGAAGATAACTCGACGTATGGAATAAAAAAAGAAAAAGGGCGACAAGTCAAGTTTCGAATATGTAGCAACCCAAGGATTATGGGCTAATAGGTATGCTGATGGGACAAGCCTATATGAACTCTTTGCGATAGTGGGCACTATGCAAAGTTCCTGGGCACCAATAACAACGCTGCAAATAAGAAAACGTCCAAGTAATTGTAGTGGAAGTTGAACGCTAACAAGCTGCTGAAACGCGCAAGGAGAATTAATGCACGCCGAACAATCAAGACGCTTGGAGGCACGAAACAAAAGGGACTTCAAGATATGGAAGGATTCATGAGCTGAAGCGTCTGACAAAGCACAGACCAAAGTATAAATCCAGAAGGATTTTGTCTGGGCTGAAGTTCCAGTCGCATTGTAGAGGATGGAGGAGTATAAAAGCTTGTCCTTGAGCCAAGAGTTTCAGGAATGATTCTTTTTTTGTCTCGTGCCCGTCGAATTACCGGCGCAGGGTCAGTGTCATGCATGCACTGCAGGTAGTCTGTACTACCCTAAGTCATTAGTGTAGTTGCCAACATTAGAAGCAACCCTCCACAATAAACGCGGATCAACTCCAGAGTAGCCGCCGGGATAGGTGGGAGAAGTGCGGCCAGGTGCATTAGTCTCCGCGCCTGGAACCACGGATCCATCGCTGATTGATTGACATGACATTAGGTCCTGTTCCATTCTTAGCAAATTTCCTTGAAGGAGTCTATTATTGTCTAGAACTAATTACCTTGATCGCAGGAATTAGTTCCGACCTAACACTGCATAATTCGGCCAAATTTAGAACCATCACCAAGCGAAGCGCCAAACATCCCTGCAACAGAATCGTGAAACAATTACCTGCATCACCCTAATTAGTGTCGGTGCTCTATAATTATCGCAAAAGCACGACACCCAGGGTGGTTAATATTAGCAACAGACAGGTTCTAGACGGTAATGAACCCATGAAGTTGATTGCTGGAACGCTGAGACAAGTGGAAGCGCCAGTAGGATACCTGGACTTTGTTTACCCCAATGTGAAGCACATTCTCGCAGTATGCTAATCTAGTCTTTGAAATGTCTTCAAGTTACTGGTCATGCTTGCTGATATACTCTCATCGAAAGCCTTGGTCATACCGCAGCTCGGACATGGTAATGCCATTCGAGCCAAGCTTAGAGGAGGGGGCGGGGGAGTAAATGAAGGTTAGTAGGTGAACCGAGAGATTAATTTAGGACCTCGGATATTCTAAGGAAGCTAAAAATGGCAAATATGTGAGCAAATTATGCCGCCTAGATCAATAAGCGCTGAAGTTGTCCAATACCCGCGGTTACACGATGTTGTCATTAGGAACGTTGCCAAATTTACAAAGCAACGCTTTGGATTATATGTTAGGATAGTGTGGATGCTACTTTTACATAGTATTCAATATGAGTGTCAGCAGCGATACCTCGTAGAAGTTATATTTCCCTGAGAGCTTCATAGACTATACCTAGTGGATTATAGGAATAAAAGCCCTATTAGAGCAAAGTGGCATGTAACATCGTCTCCTCTGTTATGGGTACTATTGTACTTATCTTACACCGAGCCCAACGTGGGGAGGCTTTTACGTAGTCAAGCAGCGGAGAGTATACTAGTACTGATGTTGCTGCGTTATCTATCTAGGTTCTATGACAAGGCCAGACCAATCGGGATCTTTGGCCTTTTGGTCAAGTTAGGGCTTGCTGGCAAGTCGAACAAGTGCTGTATCACTCCTTCTTATTCTGGTCTCATAGTGCCTATATGATCAATTGTATAGAGCTCAACACTGATCACTGCATACTGTCAGTTCGGACAATGTACCTTGTCCCTATGCATTCATATATGAGTTAAGCAATATAGTTACTAGCACAGACTATCTAGGTATATATGTAGGCGTACACACCGATATTACCAAAGTATGTTTGAAAGAGCCGTCTATCATAGCCAAGTCTTGCGAATCAGGGAGGATCGCTCTGTAGCCAATCCTCTCTTTGAAAACTCCAATGTCAGAACGCCGCCAGCTTTGCAGCAGTAACAAACCTATATCCGTCTACAAAAGTCCCCAATTCTAGATGTCAAGATGACAAAGTGAAAAGGTAAGAAATCTGACGAAAGACCAAAGAAATCATAAACACTACATCCCAGATGACGATCTTCTGAGACGCACCACAGAGGCCCACCCGATCCTCGCTACATTCCACAGGAGGACGTCGGACTCCGGGCTTGCAACCTCCTTATAGTGTAATTGAAGATTTTGGCTGTTCCAAGCAAGACAGTAAATGTGCCCACCAACAGACCGGAGACACAAAGCCGGCATACCGCATACAACAGGTCATACCATCTGGCTAGGTGCTTCGGTTATCATGCAATTCCACCTCACCTAAAAGCAAGCAGATCCTCGGCACAGCCTGGTTAGTTGTAGGTGGGAGGTGTGAGGTCTGGATGGCTCGTGGGTGTCATGCGGAGAGTGCGGCTTTGAGGGGATGATATCAATTTGGTGGATAACTGGCGTGCCGGAGTCAAAGAGGAATCTATGATATGGGTTGATGGCTGATATTGTGTGCCCACAGATGATCTCCTTGAGTGAATAGATGTAGTTGGTAATGACCGCAGCGATGGGAGGGCACCATGCGGAGCGGACCAGCGAGATAGTTGATGATGAACTGCTCGACCATCTGCAAGCCTGAGTCGTTCCAAACCCAGGGGTCGCGTCTCTTCGTCAGTGCCAGACTCCGTGAGAGATAGGTCATCGCTAAGGTCGGGAAAATAACTTTCACGAGCCTCAACTCGATCATCATCTGTCTCATCTTGCCGATCGGTGTCTGACGATTGTTCGGGTGACTGTACACTACAGCATCTTCTTAGAAGTGGTCTTGCTCGGCGACCAGAATTGGCCCTGATATGCTTGGCCTTTTCAACTTCATGACTGTAGGAGCTTCTCCGGTTCAGCAAGCGTCCTCGGCCACAGCTACTGTCTATGGTTTCCGAATAGCCAGGCAGTCCGATTGTCCTTAATGCTGTCTGGCTCGAACTAAATGCCACTCTCGCCCGCATCTGTTGGATAGCCGAGTCCAACGCTAATTCAATAGCGCAGTGGTTTCGAATCCGTCTGAGTTTGGGCCACGTCGCACGCTCCCCTGAAAGACATGCTTTGAGCATGAACTCCGTAGTCGGATTCTTGAGAATTACAGGAAAATGGGTGTAGAGTATTTCGGGGTAAATGTTAATATCCCCGGAGTATTTCTGGTTCACGATTGATACGGTTTTGGTCAGAGATGTTGGGAAAATACCAAGTTCAGATAAAACCGTCAATCGATGCAATACCTCATCCTTCGCGAGGTGCGTCATGGTGTGGAACAGCCGAGAAGTCAAGGACGGGGTCTGCGGTGTTCCGTGGGTCGGACCATCGTATTTTGGGAGAAAGGGGACCACATGAGGATTAACTTGCGACACAATGAAGTGGTTGACATTGAACATTTCCGATAGGCGGGTCATCGGTAGATCGCCATCTACTGAGCCATCGATATACTGCCTATGCAAGTCGTTCCAAGGGACTGCCTCTCCTGTCTCTGGATCTTTGGCCATGAGAACAAATGGCGAAAATACTAAGGGCACCGAGCACGAGACAGCTCTGTGAAAGTTAGTCCGACAATAAAACTTTGGGTGTGGTGGGGGAAACGGGGAAAAAGTAGAACGTACACTGCAGACCAAATCAACACATTAGGCGCTGTTATGTAGTTTAAAAGCTTGGGGAGCTCATAGATTCCAGCACTAGAAACGCAGATGTTAAGTATTCTGCGCGTTCTATTATATGCTTCCTGGAATGTAATATCCCCAAGCCAATTTCGCATAACCTTGGCTAAGTTGGAGATGTCCAGAAAAGAGCCGTACTTCAGAAACCTGGCGGTCTTCTGAAGAATATTCTCCTCCTGGTCGGGATCATTGAAAACAGCAAAGTCCCCATAGGCAAACGTATCCAAAAGTAACGGCAGTTCATCATCTGTCCGAGTGCAGAAGACAGCGCAAATAATACTTCCCGCCGAAGCGCCAGAGATAATGCGAGGAAGCAGTTTTGCCTGCCAGAGCGCTTTGAGCACGCCGATGTGATTCATACCGAATGTTGCTCCACCTGAGAATAGTAAGGCGCTCCGGCCAAAAGCTTGCCTTGCTGCTAGAAGTTGATCAAGGATATACTTCAGTTCCAACCCATCACACCGCCCTTTCGCTGACAGGTCTACCAGCGACGATATTGTGTCGAGGGCTGTGGTGATGTACTGATCAATCAAGTCCTTCGTACCCACGTGCGAGTGCCCATAGAGAGAATCGTTACGCATGTTTCCTAAGTCGCGGCTTAGGGAGGTGCGGATTAGGAACATCATTCGGCTAACGTCACAGCTAATGCGAGCTTCTTCTAGTTGCTTCAGGCGTTCCTGTACTAGATGGGGATCGTATTCGGAACTCTCGAAGGTTGTTTTCCAGGAGTTGTTGTCTTCTAATTCGTCCAACTCATAGGCGCAGTCCTTCCACTCTTTGTATGATACAGCCTGAATCATACAGTTAGAAAGCATATCAAACTGCAAGGCGAACCAGCCGTATAGTGGAGAAATGTCCAGTAAAGGAAGGGCTAACATACATTGCGCATTTTAAGATATAGCACCTGCTTTCGATCCTCGATAGTACTATTCCCACCCTTGCCCACCTTGGAGGAGCTATCCTGGTTCACATTATACAAAGTATCGCCGGCCCAAGTCAGGGAGGACTTGATGACAGATGACAGCGAGGGAAGGGAAACAGCTCTCGAAAGGAAGCGAAACGGAGTACCAGAAGCCTCCTTGACGGAAGACGGTTTTCGGGCATGTTTACTCTTGGGATGGCAGCGAGGGCTTATTATGGGGGAGTCATGAAGGATTGCCATGCCAGGCTTCCACTGACATCAAGGCATTCGACCGAGAAACAGATAGCACTTCAAATGGCTAGTATAAAAAGAGATCGATGGGTGGAAGAAACTATCTTAAATGAAAGCCGGTCAAAGGAGAACACATAGGAAGGGATAAGTAAAATGAAGATCTAGCACCGAATCAGAGACAAGCATAAGTCAGGGAATATAAGTGTTCATCTCCATGACCGTGGGGTGCAACAAGACTGGGATGGTTCGGGAAAACTGTGTGCAAATCATGGATAAATCTGGGGGTGTGTCAGCAGCGCAGCCTAAGGCCCCGTCCGGAGTAGATCCAGACGTCACGAGGGGCCCCCTGTCCGCCCCTGGTGATTGGGCAGAAGTCCGGTTCAGTGGCTATCGATCGCCACAAGCGCTAGTCAGCCCCAGGGAAACCGCTCATCATGCGCATCAATCCTTTTCGCGGGGATTCTTCATTCGGAAAGCCCGCCGTCTGGACACCGTTGAACCAGCACCAACTACATCCCACTATATTCAATCCATAACCACAGGAACATTATAAGATTTACCTTCGGTTCTAAAATCTAAACAACCAAAACTCTATGTTTAAAAAGAGGAGCAAAACCTGGATATTGTAGACGATGATCGCCAATCCTTCAGCCCAGATCATCGGCTGGATGATCTCATACAGCCCCACAAGCTGAATGGAGGGGATGATGAAGTATTGCGAAGGCAGGCATTACCGCATCAAAAGAAATTTGTCAGTGGAAAGATAGCTTGGGACGGATAGCGGATCGAAACAAATCGGCCTGGAGTACGGTCAAGTACTACGTACTGCCTTACGACTAGTCAAGGAGTATACTACTAGTATACCTAGTTAGTAGGTATCATACGGGGTCACGAGCGCTCTTCGGTATGTAGCGTACTCCGTACAGGGTGTTTCTATGCGATGGCCTGAACATTACCACACCGCATATCTCAAAGTTGATGCGATACGAGATTTCAATGCAACCCAACATTTACAGTAAGAGTTATGAGCAGTGATGGAGATGCCGGTTGTGGGTATTGGTTGGCAAGGATGACAGTTATGTAATGCTTACTGAGTAGTATTATACATGGCTATTGCCCTCAGATATTCCTGATCCACGAGCTGAGCCTAAATTCTCAGTCATGGGTCAAGGGTCAGTAAGCTGCGATACCCATGTTTTAACATGCGAAAGTTTGTGTGACCGTATCAAAACGTTTACGGAACCCCAGGCCCAGTGACACGATAGGCGTTTGGACTCGAATCTCAAACTCGAGACGATAAATCCCCACTATAAGTTGGGGATGGTCATGCGAAACCAGGGCTATCACATGCTTTGGAGATAGGGGTGCGCATGTGAAACGGGCCTGAAAATGGGGAACGCGGTCCCATCCATCTTTCAGTCCAACATTCTAGACCTCTCCTAGAGGGATCATAAAACTGCCATTAAGTGACCTTTTATTCGCTATTCTGCGGAGAAAGTCAAGGTATCAGACGCAACCACTTTCCCAGTGCATCTCTTGCCTGCGACTCGACCCCATTCTCTCTCCAGAAATGTCCAGCTCCGTCAATCTCGGCCGATTGAAATTGACCCCCGGGCACATGCGACAGTTCGTCTGACCATTTATTTAATTTACTTGAAGATGTAAAGCTGTCCTGATTTCCGTAAATAGCTAGAGTCGGATGGGCGCATAGCTGACGAGTTGGCTTGGGGCATGGAATCTGTCTCCGTTGAGCTGGACTGTGAGCCCCAATATCCAAGGACATTGTTGAGAAGAACGTTAGGAGCAGATTGAGTGGCGGCAAGAGGGGCGACATGAGAAGGTATGAAATTGTTGTTCCTGAAATATCCAGCGGTTCTTCCATGACCAGGTGGTCTTCTGTTGCCCAGTTTCGTTCCTGGGTTGAGTCATTGGCCTCGAGCAGAGCCGAAACTTTCGCTGCACTTTGGAGGATTCCATATGCCTGTGTACTAACGGTGATATTTTTGAAGATATCCGCGACGACATCAAGTGAGGGAAGATGTGATGCAATTAATGAGCCGTAGGAATAACCACCGAGTATGAGATGGATATCTGCTCGGGCAAGTGTAGACTGCGCATCAGGGCCCTCAACACTGGGCCCACTTGGGATACTTCCATCCCCTCGACGTGAAACCTTTTGCGACCTCAAGGAATGCAAGTAGCACAGCATGAATCCGTAGAAGGACACATAATCTGCTAATTCGGGCTTCGCGGTCCAACTAGTCCGTCCTTCTGAAGTACCGGCACCACTACAGAACATATCAGTATACACCCATCCAATGATATATATAGCCAGAGAAAAAGAGAAGGAAAAAAGAGTAAACCAGTATAGAGACCAAGGTGCACCAAAAAAGCTAGCCATTCTACTTACCGAAAATTGAATGTACCCACGATATATCCACTCCTCAAAAGCTCGCCTCCGACAAAGCTTACGACTGGATCGTCGTAACACCCACCGAGGGGAGCATATGGATGTGCGACTATAGCCCCTCGTATAGTTTCTGACTGCAACGGAGTACGGGGAAGATAAAGGCGACAGTCGAGTTGAGTGTCATCGTGAAGTGAAGGAATGGTGAAAGAGTATGTGGGAGAGGGTAGATACATATTTTTACAGGATTCGGCACAAGATGTCTATGTTGGATCTATAACAATATAGCCCTGAGATACATACCCGAGAACTGAGCCGTTAACGCGGCGAACGGTTCCTGATGTCACGCTGCCGGAGGGGTTTTAAGACCCCAAAGTTGCAAAGTTGGTCAATGCGTCTTCCCCGATGCGCTTTGTTTTAGGGACGCTGCCCTACGACGCTGGACAATAAGCCCAGACCAGCCTTGGTCATATAATTATAGCTACTAGTATTTATTCTATACTACAATATTAATATTTCTTCCAGAGTAATCCCAACAAGAACTGTCAAAACTTCTATATATTAAATCTCTCTATCTGTGTCTTTTT